GCAGGTAAATGAGCTATGCAAAAATGGGGAATAAAGGGGGTAGTTTCTTACCCTTGTAGACCCTCTTCACAAATGGTGGACCAGCTGATTCTTCAAACTCAAACCAGCTCCAAAACTCCAAAAACAAGCCTCAAGGGCCTCAGCTCCAAGGGAAGGTGTGATGGTGGGTGTTCGTGTGCAAAACTAAGGTAAAACACACACAAGATACAAGAGAGAGAGAGATATAGAGATAGAGGATGTATAAGCCCTAACCCTAAAACTCAAAACCCTCTGAAAATGTTGTCTAACTTGTCTAACCTCTGAAAAAGGGAGAGAAGACCTCCTCTTATAGAGGAGTCAATCTTGTAAAGCTTACAAGGTAAAATGCATGCCAGTGGCATAAAAAATATCTACAAAAGCAGATGCACAGTAGTCAGCTGGCAAAAAGTGCAACTTGGTAAAAATAGATGGCCGGCTGGCCATCTGTAGTGCCGGTCGGCCAAATATATGGCCGATGGGCACAAAACACAGCCGGTGGCCTCAAGCCATGGCCGGTGGAGTGTGGGAGACCTTAAAAGGCATCCCCTGCCCTTCCAAGGCAAAACACAAGTGTTTGGTGCAAAACCAAACACCGACCAGTCGAGTCAGGAGATCCTGAGGCAAGGCGCGCTGCTGAGACCTCCGGGAACTCAAGACGAACACAAACATGGATAATCACCGAGTGCTCAAGCGGTGACGTCCAAGTCTTGAGGACGGTCAAAAATGGGGTGTCTACATAAGTAAGAAAAATTCAATACAAAATAATAGTTCATTATAGAAAGAGTTTTATCAAAAGCTAACAGTCTGAAGCTCAGCTTGTTGCTTTTGTATAACCTATTTATCACATTAATGTTGTCATGTACTAATTGTGGGTTTTTTATATGGTGGTTGTGCTCAAATAATTTCACATTGGTGATTACCCTTTGAAAATTAGATCAAATGCAATTTGAAAGTGAACATAAATTTATATTCAGGAACTTTTGAGAACCTTTCCCTCATTAGTGGGAAACAGAGATATAATTTATGTGTATGGTTTATGCATATTAGGAAAAGTGTCTATATGAACTGACAATGGACATTGACTGATGAAGTTGATATGCTACATACTATCATGTAGCAATAATCTTGTTGTTTTTGTAAGTTTGTCTTATTTATCATAGGCAAAATTTGATTTTGTGGGTGACATGCTCAAAGGGGTCATATATTTGATCTCTTTGTGCAGATCTTGGGAAGGCTCTAAACAGGTAGTGTAAATAGTCAATTCTCTTTGCTAGCACCCCCAAGTTGGTGAGAGACCAACGAAAAGAGAAAAGACCAAAGTAATGATAGGATGAGCTTTGTGGTGCCAACCTAGTTGGGATCATTTAGCTCATTGTGATGCTTTTGCACTTCCTTTTTCTTTATTAATGTAATTTGTCTTGTACCTTGTACTTGTTTATTCCATCAATAAAGTTCTTTTTTTTGCCGATAAAAAAAAAAGAAAAGAAAAGTCAATTCTTATTTTTTTTTCCTGTATGATTTCTTTGGTCATTGTTCTAGCGTCTCTCTCTCTCTCTCTCTCTCTCTCTCTCTCTCTCGGCTTATTGTGGTCGTTCCACTGAAAGAGCGGACTGTTTCTTTGACTTCTGTCCATCTTAATTGCTTTTCAAACAAAAGCTGGAATGATGTGTCGTATTGAGATTTAGTCGTTGAGAAAGTAATTATCCAAAACATTGTATAAACATGAGAGCTGCTTCTTTAGAGTTTTTATTACTCTTTAGCCTGATATGTATAGAATCTGTTTTCCTTTGTTTACAGATACAAATTCCTCTCAAGATAGAGAATGTCATATTGATTAAAATCTCTGTATTGAATTTATGTAGCTATTTTCTCCAATCTTCACTTCAGTAGAAATAACCATGACTGAATGTTTTTTTCGCAGTTGTGCTCATTTAATAGCTTTGAGAAGAGATTCAATTGGTAAGGTCATTTCCTTACACTTGAGTTTCTAGTGTAGTTCCAATCTTTTGCATTGCTTGTTTGCCTTCGTTATATTATCTATATAGGAGTTATATAATTTCAAAATCACTGCAATGCAGCCAGGTTTGGATGCCCATATTTGAATCAGAAAAAGTAGACATCCATTTATACTTTTAAACACACACCCATAGAGAGAATGAGTGTGGACCCCACATTCTCTCGCTTGCACACACATAATGGGCTGTTGAAAACTTGAAATATTTTATGGAAACAAGCATATAGTGTGTATGGTGGATCCAAAACACACTTGAACTAACTTTAGGATTGAATAGCTGCACTCAAATGTAGCCCCTGTTAGAAAAGTGTCTGATGGGAAAATTGAGATTTGAGGGTTTGTTAAACTCTATAAAACCATCCCTTTCAAAGAATTAAGGGGTCAAAATGAAGATGTTTCTATTGGATCAGTAGTGAAAAAAAAGAAAAAAAAAGAGATATGGTATGAAAACGAATGTACTTTGCAGCATGATTATCAATGAAAAATAATTTTATTTGATATATTTCATTATACTTTTTAATTTTTTTGTTTTGCTGACTTTTTTTACTAGTGGCTGCAGCTTGAGATTGTTTTAATGATTCTCTTATCAGTTCTGTTAATATAAATTTTATTGGTGGCTAATTAACTAATTAACAATTGCAGACGTAAATAAAAGAGCTTGGAGCGCAATCCAATGACATTTTATTCATGTTGTTTGTTCTTATCAAATGCAGGTCCACATATCAAAGAAAGAAAAGAAGAAGAAGAAGATATGACAAACTCAATGAAAGAAGGCCGCTGGAGTCTACTGAATTCAAGGTTAGAACTGTTCCTACACTACAAAAAAATTGACTTTTTGTGACGGTAAAATATCGTCGCTAATACTCCTAATGCCGTCGCTAATACTTTTTGCGACGGCAAGAGGGGGTCGCAAATACAGGGGTTGCAAAAGAGTTTTTGCGACGGCACAGTGCCGTCGCTAATGTTTTGTGACGGCATTTTTGCCTTTTTGCGCCGGCACTGTGCAGTCGCTAATAATGTTTGAAATTTCTTGACTTTTTTGTGACGACATTATTTTACCGTCGCTAAAAATGTTATTTGAGACGGCAAAAAATACCGTCGCTAATAGTCTTTTTTTGCAACGGCAAAAACATTGCTTTTGCGATGGTGTGGTGCCGTCGCAAAAAGTATTAAAAATATGAAAATTTCTATTTTTTGCGACAGTGTAATGCCGTCTCAAAAAGTATTAAAAAATAATAAAATTTCTATTTTAAATAATAAAATTTCTATTTTTTGCGACAGTATAATGCCGTCGCAAAAAGTAAAACCTGTAACAAAATTAACAAAAATATTAAAATTTTCTATTTTTTGCGACAGTGTAATGCCGTCGCAAAAAAGAAAAAAACATCCTACGATAAAAATATTAAAAATATTAAAATTTCTCCATAATAATATAAAAATAACAATTTCTTCATAGTAAAATATTTTTCCATTCATATAATTACACATCAACAAAATTATCCTGCTACATAATGTTCCATAATACATATATAATGTTTAAATACATGATTTTGTTCATAATTCAAAATAACATAAACCAAATTTCATTACTAAAATAATAAAACAAATTGCATTTAAATTCTCACTTTCATAAATAAAATTGAGGTCTAGATAGGATGAGCCATTTACTTTGGAACCCATATTTTACATGCTGAGTATTCAAGTCATTGTGAAGGCATTATGACACACAAACCCTCCTTGCTTGACTGTCACCCCCTGTCCGGCCATTGCACTGCAAAATTGTGGGTCTCCATGCCAAAAAACACTTCAAGGACACCTAGAATATAAAAGGCAATTTGATCAGCTGCAGCTAGAATATGAAACGCAGATATTGTTTATATGCTAGTGACCTAGCAATTTACATTTTGAAAAAGTTTCCGCTCCAAATGGTGGAAATAGCTTTCCAAAGTGGCCCCTAATTTTTTCATATTTTTTTCCTTAGAAATTATCCTTAAGAAGTATATTAAACAAAAACCAAGAGAGAGTGTGGTTTTGGAAAGAATGTGGAAACATAGCCATAATGCTCTTAGAAATGTGTTTCTACATGATTAACTTGAATAAGAATACACTATTTTATTGGATGTCTAATTGTTGAAAGGCAGTTACTTTCTGCATTCAGAACCACCTTAAGTTCCAATAGTCTAATGTAATCTATACAAGCCCACCCTATCACCCTATCGTACCACATTCCCATTCCTGCTCCTCATGTAGAAAATGATCCATGTTCTAGATGACATAGGTTTATATGAATAATATACCAACTAAAGACACAAAACTTTGATGAATGTGAATGACACATAAACAACACCCATAAGTACATTAATCATAGCACATAAGCATGAAACATATACATGAGAGTTGGCAGATAGCATTCAGTGTACAATATACCAGTGTGCATGTCCAGGGAGCTCAAGGATAGGAACCTTCAGCATTCTAAGATCCCATATATGTATCCCAGATTCATCCTCAGCAGTTACCTGTAGTATTGGCAACAATATTGTTATGCATGTTAATTTAACAATATTGTTATGCATGTTAATTTAACACAATTGGATAATCAAAGAAAATTATTCCAAAAAAAATCTAGAGATTTTGAAGGATAGTCATTTATAAATAAAACGATAGAATCTCATTCCTTTGTGGCATGGTGAGAATGTAAGGGGCACCGGGATATCAATATTTTAAAATGTTTTGCATTGTCTGATTTCTCTCAATCATTATCATCCAAACAATTATATCAAAGTTTATTAATTCATAAATTTCCCAGTGTGTGCTACGCTACATTGTCATTTGTCACACATGCAAAAGTTAAATCAGCTTGTTAAAGAAGCTGACAGCACCATCTTAACCTTTTTTTCAGAGGCTCACAAAGATTATGCAAACTCATGTCATCTATAAACTATTTTTAAAAGGGTAAAAAAAAAAAAATTTACTTCATTGTCCGTAGATCCCAAAATTGTATTGATGATTCACATGTTGATGCAACGGAATTCACATCATGTGGATCCCATGCTCCACCAGATAAGTAATGAAGCATTCCTGTTGACTCCTGTGATTGTACCTGGATTTCACCACAAATCCTGATTAAGAATCAGTCCAAGAATTTAAAAGTAACATCAATATCACTTTGACAATAGGATCTCGTAGCAACTGCTATAGATCAAATGGCACCTTCAACATGCCAAGATGAACTTACAAGAAAAGATGATTGAATTTTTAGTTCTAAAACAAGGAAGTACAAAAATATGATAAGACATTAAAACAGTTGATTCAATAACTACAGTTCATATGAGCTGAAAAGTAATGCGTTTAGGTCAAGTAAATGTTTTCAAATGCAATTGTCCCCACAAGGAAACATCTCCAAATTTCCAGAAAGCTATAAATACCAGGGGGCTCGGGCAAATAGTGAATAGTATGAGATGTGAGTTGAAAAGAGCTAAACTCACTTTCTTTATAAGGCAAATCCTTTAATGAAACCACTCTTACTATTATCATAGTTTTGAATTTTTTAAAGATAATGGGAAATCTCTTTTTGTTAATAGCTAATCTGAACAGTTTCAAATTTTAAAGATCGACCAAAAATACCCTATTTTCTCAAACTATAATAAATAATTCTTACTGTATCCCTAGCTTATTATCTTTGCAATTAATTACAAATTTCTGTAATAATTTTCTTAAATAAAATCGTACTATGAATTTCTAAATATATACATTGCCTTGTTGAAAGCATGAAGCATTGTACTCCTAAGGGCACTCATACACTCCTCAGGTCTTCCAGCTTGTCCACTTATGGATAAAAATTTCTGAACAATATATTCCTTAATTTGTTTTAAGTTTCTTTTGAATTTGTTTAGATTCGTGCAAACTTCTACACATAACGTCACGTGATCATAGAAAAACCAAGCAATCTTTAGACATGAATTTAGTGAAGATATATAAGAGAAAATGAATTCTGTAATTGCCAGCTATTGCCATCAAGAAATCAGTAGAAAAATTAAAATTCTTAGGTGGCCACCCAAATATTGCACAATTATATAAACCAAAGAGATAATCTGCAACATGTGCCATCGAAGAAAAATGAAACTTAACAACCCAAAGCTGGGCAACTCATTGCTCCCTATCCTGTAACATTATCAGATCTAACTGACATATGGTTCCTCCAAACACTCCTTCATGGGACACACCTGTACTGTCTTTTTTGAAGAATCCAAGCTCCACAAATAGAGATTCTGCTCATCTATGCTGATCAACTTGTCATGCCTTCCAGATGGCCACCATAGTGTGCTGTCAAGTATATAGAGTACATGAAGTGGTTCAAAAAACGGCACAAATTTCTACCACAAAATACAATTCATCATTCAGTTAATCCATGAACAAAAAAATAAATAAAAGAATTTCTTATTACAAAATTGCCAATCAATAAAACTCCGTTTCGATCACGGGGTGAGAAAAATAAATAAATCATTGTGGTCTCTCATCCAGGTGAGAAAATAAAAGAAATGATTGTGTTTTCTCACTATTATGTTTGGATGGCTAAGAAAATAAGACATGTGAGAGAGGGATATAAATGAGATTTCTTTTTCTTCCTTTGTATTTTAAGGTGTAATCTCAGTATTGTAAATATTTTAACCAATCAGCTTGTTTCTTACCAAATCTCACTACTTTTGGTGACAAACGAAATAGGCATAATAAGAGAGTTCTCTTTCTCACCATTTCTCATCTACGTAAACATCCAAACCACTGATAGAGTTTTCTTTTCTCACCAAAACTATCCATCCAAAAGGACTGTAAATGGAGTTAGCACGTCTGTTGGCTGTAGGTATGCATTTAAGTGTCAGACTTAACAGTTTATAAAATGAACTAGAAATGCTGGACATGCTTGCTAGGGATGGCAATTTAAACCCGGACCGACGGGGACCCGACTCCCCGACCCCGATTTGTGCAGTTTTTTCTCAAAAAATACCCCCGACGGGACGGGAATGGTATTGAAAAATCAATCCCCGATCAATTTCGGGCAGGGGACGGGGATAAGTGTCCAACGCCTACCACCACTGAGGATGACAATTTAAATCCGGCCCGACGGGGACTCGACCCCCCGACCCAGATTAGAATGGTTTTTTCCCAAAAATTTCCCCTCGGGGACGGGGATAGTATTTGAAATTGAATCCCCGATTAGTTTTGGGCTGGGGCCGGGGACGGGGATAGTTTTCACAGCCCCGTCCCTGACCCTGTCCCCGGCCCTGTCCCTGTTTCTCCCTGAAGTGAAATTACTAGCATACCCCTATATATATATATATATAAACCAAACCCTAAAAATAGACACAGACTACAGTTCACTCACATGGTCTCTTATCTCTCTTTCTCTCTAAAAGCCCCCATTCTCCGCCGCTGTCCTCCTATCTCTCACAACCGACCTCCCTCTTTCCGTTGTCTTCCTCTCTCTCCTCCCATCACAGTCGTTGAACTCAGATCTCGACCGTCAACGCCAAACTCGGTGGGGCCTCCAAGTCTCCTCTCTCTCTCTTTCTCTAACAGTGGAAATGATGATGATTTGTCTTTGGCGATTTTAAGATAGAAATTTGGATAAGAAGAGAGGATACAAAGCCAACAGTTATAGCAATGTTTGTTCTATTTTTTGCTATAATTGTGGAAGTAATCTGTTACAAAGTTGCCAAAAAGAGTAAATGGGTGGCATTTTGGGAATTGGAAAAATGGTAGGAAAAGGCATAATGTGCCAATCGCATACACTTTTTCATATTAGCTAGTGGTGAAAAAAGTTATTGTTCTGTTTGCATGGATTATCCTAATTAATCTGTTGCATTTTTTTCTATTTGGCGTGGGAACAGGCTGTTATTAAAGCAAATATTATCCTTCTTCTCTCTCTCTCTCTCTCTCTACTAAGATATCTCTCTCTTTGTGATGTTAATGATGTTGTTTGATGATGTTGTTGATGATATTGTTGAATAGTTATTGTTGCTAACTTGCTGCTGTTGTTGTTTAGATTTATTTATTTTTTTGTCCGAGGAATTTCCGGGGTCGGGGAAAACCGATCCCCGTTAGGGGACGGGGGCGGGGACGATGATAGGTCCCCCGTCGGGGATCGGGGCAGGGGACGTGGTAATTTTCACCATCGGGGATCGGGGACGGGGAGGGTGATCCCTGGCCCCGCCCCGCCCCGTTGCCATTCCTAATGCTTGCTGGGTGCATGTCAGACACATACCCTGTTCCCATACATGTGTGTTTTACCACCTGCTTTTGACTAAAAGTTAGGGGCACTAGTAATCATGATCATGTGCCTCACTAAAATAGCCAAAGAATAAAGAGATCCGGACCAAAGAACCAAACTTGTAGCTGGTTCAAGGCCTATTTTTTTATTTGAATAAAAAATAAAAAATAAAAACAGTAGCAACGTAAAAGCTTAAAATTGTTTGTAAGCAAGTGAAGAAGAAAGGAAAACTAAAATCACAAAACAGAATTGTTGACTATAACTCACCATTTGATCTTAGAATTGTGGGCATCAAGGGAGCCAATACGTTCCAACTGTGGAGAATTCAACTGTCCATATAGCTCAGGGATCTGCCATATTGCTGCTCCATATGATTCACCTTCAACAGCAAGGCGCATTATTAAACCAGTATCTTTTTTATGCAACTTAACTTCTAGACGAGGGAGCTATTCAAAAAATTATTGAAATTTTTGCAGTCATTAAATTCGGAGCAATGAAGGTCATAGAAGTGGATTTGCTAGGTTTAAACAAAAATTAAAAGAAACACAACAATTGCCAGTCCACAGTGAAAGTCAAATAAGCAACCACAAAAGGGATTTCAATTCAAATGACACAATACCAAAAATCACTCAAAAGTGACTTCGAATTAACCAATGCACCAAAAAATGATGCAATGCTACTGCACTTTTAGCTATGTGCAAGGATCTTTAGAGAAATCAGTCATATTTCATCTGCAAATATAATCAAAATAAAATTTCAAAAAATAACAAATTTAATAATACAACCGATCAATTACCGGAAGAGAATACAGTGGAGAAAATGCGCTGATCAAAGGGACAAGAAGAGAGGTCCCAGATCTCGTTTGGATGCGAAAACAGACCCTCACATACGAGTTCAGTTCCGCCCGATGAAAGCCTAATTAAATGCACCTGAGAAAGATAATTCATCTCATTCAAAATCAATTCAAAGCGAACAATCAGTGTTCTGAACATATATTGAGATCAAAGACAACAAAAAAACACACACACACACACCTCGTTTTCTTCTTTGAGACTGAGAGTGCCGGCGATGAAACTGGTGTGATCTGTGTCTGCTTTGACATCTGCGATGCATCTAGCCTACGAAGAAGAAGAATTAGGAACCAAAATTAGGGTTTTGAGAGTGTAGAAAAGATACGTTGAAGGGGCTTTGGAGAGCGAATTGACCTGGTATTTGAGGCCATAGCCGATGCCAGTTGATCCTCCTTGCATTGTTACGCAAGCCAAAATACCGATTTGATCTGGAGGAAGCTAATTATCATTCGTTTGAATACTCGAGGTCTGAGTCTGAAAAAGTGATGACTTTAGATGATGAAATAAGAATAAAATATTTAAAAAAAAATACACTGCTTTGCGTTATGTTGCATTTTAATTCTTAATTTTTTTATTTAGGGATCCCGTTTGGTAAAGTTGGGAGAAATTGATTATAAGTCATAGTTTAACAGTTTATAATTTATAACTGTAAACATAAATTGATTTTTGACTTATAAATTAAACTTCTTCTCCCTCACTCAAAGAATAAGTTGATCTTTGACTTACAAAAAGTTATAAGCTGTATTGTTAAGTTGAACCAAATACATCAAAATAGGTTAAATTACGCTAAAAGTTAAAATAAGCTAAAAATAAATCCTACCAAACACGATCATTGTCAATTTAGTGTCTATTTAAATTATAATATGTGAGTTTAAACCCAACTCACACCATTCAATTCAAACTACTTAATGCAAATTAGGATATGTTCAAAATTTCTTATAAAGAAATATGTAACTAAATTTTAAAAAGTAGTGATAGAATACATATGTTAATAATTAATATGTGGGTGTTTTATACTTTTTATTTTATTGAGACTTTACATATAATCCTTAAAAAAGTATTTTAAATTTATTTGAGATTTAACTATCATGAATAGAGTTGATTTCAAATTATACATGAATCAAACTCAAAGAAATAATGTGAAACAAGTTTTTAACACTCTACGGACATAGCGGTCCAATTGTATGTGTCGGGAATTATAAACGCTTATTTCACTTTTGTAGTTACCTAAGTTAAGTTGTTTTGAGAATTGACTTACAAATTTATTTTTTGACTTATTACAAAAAAAAGTATAAAAAAATAAAGAGATGATATGACTAAAATAAGTCAATAAGTTGGCTTATAAGCTTAATCAATTAGTTTTGGATTGGATACTTTTAATAAACGAAATCTCCGCCTAAAGTCTAATCTCTCGTGAAAGTGTTCAGACTTATCTCACATTGCTGATCTAAGCTACCAAATGAGATCGGGTTACATGTGTAGCAGAGTATTATAAATTTGTTCTACATTAATTTTCTAAATTATCCAAGTTTGACTCGTATAATGTAGAGATTATTCTATCCATTGTCAATTAATTATCAAGTTTGATTAATATATTCTACAAAAACTATACCCATTAACTCTATCCATTCTTCTTGTAAATCAAAAATATATTGGTGATTATCATTAATCTCAATACGTAATTCAAAAATTTAAAACATACTAAACAAATATCAAACTTATATTAAAACCAAAAATAAGAATACAAGATAAAGAAAACTTACAAATGATTACACTCTTGGAAGCAGATTGGGCAGAGCATCCAAGATACTATTCACACTAGGTACACTCACTTTCACTCTTATAATTGTGCTCACACTAACACTTACAAACTCATCAATTACAATATACAAATTCTTAAAATTCTGAAAGTGTGCCTTTTGCAGAGGGAATGGTTGGTTTTTATAGAAAAGGGAAACCAGATTTGAAAATGTTTGAAGTCCGAAAAGATAAGAGAGGATCTACTTTTCTTTTGCCTTTTGCTTTGTCGTTAATTGATTATGAATTAAATATTTCTAATAAATATAACAAATTCATAAATTCTTTTTAACCAATTGTAACCTTCCTCTCGCAAGCATGCACCAAATTTAAAATGAGCGCATATTTTTATCACTTAGAAGATTTCATATTTCATGGCATGATAATTCAACAAAATTCTGAATTTTAGAAAATAGTAAATTTATGAACGTTCAAAAGCTTGCATCATAAAAAATAATCTCTTTACCAATTCTAACATAGAATTTTTTTATTTTTTATTTTTTCTTTAAACTTGGTTATTGTTTGAGATAGAAATAGATAGGTAAAATGTATAAAAGCATTTGCATCAGCCTCTCTGCAATAGCTCTACAATGGCTTTGAAGGTATTATTGAGAGCAAAAGCTGTAAATATCAGCTCTATTAGTCTCTTTATAGCCTTCATTCATTTTGTAAATGCTACAGTGTCTCAACTGATTTGTTGAGACATTATTCATACAATAATCTATTTTTTATTATCTTCTGGAGCAAAGCTAGGCCAAAAAGCCGTGAACGGTCGTCCACCCAAATGTCCCCCTAGATGTCCTCCCGAATGTCCCGTGAGTGCCCTGTAACAAAGAAGGAAAATGCCTAAAATTGACCTAACCGTTCGACCGGCCAGTCAACCTCCCTGTGTGATTGTGTTTGCTGCTATTTGCTTGTTATTTGCGACTACACTTGACTCACTCAGAGAGGGAGAGAGAGCATGGAGGCAAAGAAACAGAGCATTGAGCAATTCAAAAATAAAAACCAGGCTTCCCAAATTCGCAATCCCAAACCATCACAATCTCACTCTAAATCCCGATCTCTATGCTTGTTTTTTTTTCGGTACCATCCAAATCAACCTATCGATCCTCCAAATCACCAAATTCATCGTCTTGAATGTGCTCAAACTCGTCATCAACCAAGCTTCCTTCACTAACCCCCATAACCAGGTTCTCAATGAGGGTCTTAGTGTAGGAGATGGAGTTCTGGAGATTAGCTTTTATCTTTTTCAATTTAAATGAAAAAATAAAAAATAATATTTTAATGAAATAGAATTTTAAAATAGAGAATTTGATAGAGTGTGTACATAAAAAAGAGACTGACTAAAATATAAAAGTAGATTTTTAGTTATAATTTTACTCAAAATTTGCTGAGGCTGATGTGGATGCTCTAACTGCCTTTTGATTATAATTTGACTCAATTTGCTGAGGCTGAAGCGGATGCTCTAACTACCTTTACCTAGTATAATCACTCACATCTATTCTCAGAAATTATACACTGAGCCTTATAGCATTAAGCTCATCTTTCCTGTGTGAGATTTACAGAAAAATCAAAGCTTCATTTTATCTTTGAGAGATATTTATTGTAAGCTTTCTTTGAAAGCAAAAATACTAGTTCATCTTGTAAAAGTGTTGCAAACACTGTATTCTTGAAATCTTGAGAGTGATTGTGAATCACCTAAGATTTGCAAGGGTTTGGACTTGTGAAGTCTGTGTAAAATCCATGGAGGATTGTTCCATCTGTAAAGAGGTTGCTAGCACCCCTGTGAAGCTAGAAGATAGTGGAAAATCTCAAGTGAAACTTGAGGAGTGGACGTAGGCCGAGTTGAAACCGAACCACTATAAATTTGTTTGCTCTCTCTCCCTTATCTCTTTATTTTATTTTAAATTGCCATAGCTATATTTCACATTTTTATTGTGCTAAAATCATTAACTGACATAGTTGTTAAGACACTTGTTTTAATTATTTTTATTTCATTAATTATATTTATCTATTGTGCTAGTCATAATTTTATTAGGGTATTATTCATTTTAATTGTAAAAACCTAATTCACCCCCCTTTTAGGTTGTCTTTTGGGTAACACGTTAGAATTATCATTGTTAGGATGTCGGGTAAGTTTTCGTTGGAAATTTCTTTCTTATTTCTTTTTTGATTGTAGTTGTTTCAATTTTGAGTGTTTGCTCGTTTCAAAAGGTGCGAGATCGGCTCCGGGGTGTCAGGAGCGAAGTTGAAGTTTTTCCGGGCTGGAAGGCCAGAGCCGCACGTGCGGGGCCTTGGGCCACACTTGCGGGAAGGGCCGTACGTGCAGGAGATCAAGCCGCAAGTGCGGGAATGAGGGGGGTTCGAGCTGGGTGCACACTGTCTAAAAGGCAGGTTCGCGAAAGAGGTACGGAGAAGGACCGCACGTGCGGGGGTGAGAGCCACACGTGCGGGGAGGTGCGCCGCATGTGCGGCTGAGCGCGTTTCTGCTCCATTTTTCGTGCAAAACAGCTATATTTTTGCATTTTGCTCATTTTTCTTCCCATTTCAGAATATATCTCTCTCTATAATATATCCTCCCTTTTTCTCTCATCTTTCTCTACCCAAACCCTTAAACATTTGCATCTTCTTTGATCCCAAGAAATCTATAGAGATTTTGGCATAGGTCCCTTATACCAAAATAATGAGCGTGTTGGGGGCTTCCTCTTGACCGGTGGAGATCGTATTCCAGCGAGGTCTATTTTTGGGCTCTTTCTCCTCTTCTCTCTTGAGGTAGGGATCTCCATGGTTTCTTCTCAATACTTCCGTTATAAATAGTCACGTGGCATTTTCTATTGCATCAAAATCTTATTGTTATGGATCTTTGTTGAAAATCATGATAGAGGGTGTAAGATGTGGGAGTAGGGATTGGATTTCATAAGATGGGTGATGTTGAGTCAAGTTTGGGGTGATTTAATATATATATTGATTGATTAAAGAGGGAAAGCCCTAATTTTTGTAGAAAGGACTAGTAGATAAAAAGGGGTTGAAATTGTGAATGGATTGTGTTATGAAATTAAGAAATGTGGATTTGGAAATTAAATTAAGAATAAATTGGTTTTTTTTGAGTTGAACATTAACTTCTGTTGGATTGATTATATTTAAACATGATGAATTGTTGAGTTATTAGAGATTAGTTGATGTCTCATAAATTCTAACTTTGATTTAATAATGTGTTATTCAACGTGGATTGTAGTAAATTGATAATGTATGTATATTGAAGCGAATGAAAATAAATCATGAGATTAGGATGTTAATGAATTGCGCCACCATTAAATAGAAATGATGTAAATTATAGTTTACCGCCATGATAGAGATCCCTTACTTGAAATGAAGGGTATTGAATCGGTCGTATTATTGTGAAGTGAAATAAATGAAGTGAGGCAAAGGGTGGAAGAGATTAATGTAGAAGGAAAAGACAATTGATGTTGAAATGGAAGAATGAAATGTTAACATAGTGGGAGTTTCGGAATTGGACTTGGGATTGAATCTTGAATATTTAATTTCATTGATGTGTAATTGGACCTAAAGTCCCATGGGGAGTTATTGTTGTGAATGTGTAAGTTGAATACATTTTGCTTAGAGGTTTTGTCCTTGGTCATCGGTGGAGGATAACATTGTTGTGTTGAATGGTCTATGTATATGCATTACGCTTGTTGATTGTGTGATGATTGGTGAT